CGAACGCCGCCGCGTCTTCGACGGCATCTTAAGTATCTGGAACTCTTTGCCGCGGATACCGTCTTTTTCGTCCTGTCCGAATTTCCGTCTTCCTTCTCTTCGCATGAGACGCCGTGTTTGCTCGCGAGAACGCGTTATAATCCGTAGGTCCGACAGGGTTGCCACGAAACTGGAAATCAGGGAATTGTTGGGAAAATTGAAAACGATTAGAGAAATCAGAGAAAAACCAAGGAAATTTGTAAATTTACTGAAAAATTAAAATTCTCGACTTTAAAAAAGTTTAATATACGTCACACACGCAAAAAAATGATTGGTTGAATTAACTGGAATTCTGGAAAATGAACGATCCAAAATTCTAGTTAACCAACATTCCAAATTTCCTTGGTCAAATCTATTAGCTATAATTCTAGACTTAACTGTAGAATTCTGTATTGCTCATTTTCTCTATCAGAATTTCAGTTAATTTAACCAAATATTTTTCTTTGTTCACCTACGCAGTTTTGGAATACTACCAATTTAATAGTTAAAAATGCAAGCAGTGTCAGAAACATTAACAGTAATTTACATTGCTATATTAAATTGATTTTTAACAATATATTTAATGGTTTCTAAATCGAAAATACTTCAGGGAAAATCATAAAACTTTGTCTGGAAATCAGAGAAAAGTTATAAAATTTCAGGATGAAGAGTTTGTGATAACTCTGTCCGAGATATCGTCCAGTTAAGACAACTTTTCTGGTTTACGTTGCTCTTAAGCTCAAGACTGAAACGCCAATTCGTTACTATGTCTCGAGTCATGTAACAATTTCATGATTAGCGACGCGAAAAACACCGTTTTTCTTTTCCACCTGTCTCTGTCTCTCCGAAGGACTATCATCTTCGACGTAGATGTCGTCGTCGTTGTCTTCGTCTCGTATTCCTACCATCATGGGTATACTTTTACCCTCATTCTCTCGCAACCCCGAGGCAAACTCACCTACCCGTGCAGGATAAGCTTGGACTTCTCGGTGTACAATACACTTCCCTTTTGTACGAATAGTCTCGTCCGGTGAATCGCGCTTTTAGAAGAAGTATCCCGGGAGAGTGAGAGGTACTCGCGTCGACTTGCTAGAATTCTGACAATGCCCTTCGCCGATGCTTGAAATTTTTTTCCTTATTTCTTTTCTTTTTCACCCGTCGGCCCTTGGGCACGCGGGATTTTCTTTTTTTCTAACCAGACCCGAGAGAACGACGGACTTGCGAAAGAAATTGCGAGAGAAATTGCGTTCTCGAGAGACCGAATTATTCTTGTCAGCAACAAGGATCTTTGCTATGACGTTGCGACGAAAAGTTATATTTCTTTCATTATTTCATGAATCTAAAAAGTACATGAATTTCACGCGCGATTACTAATAATGATAAAATGAATAATCCAATAACCGTAATTGGAAACAGAGGTTAAGTGATTGAATTAAAAGTCTATCTGCAAATTCAGGGTATAAAGCGTGAAATATTATTTCTTACGAAAAGTTCATCTACTGGGATGTGCCCTAGATTCCTCGAATTTTCTCGTATCATGTATTTTCCAAGCTTTTGTGATTGAAGAGTAGCGCTACTGAGATTTTTCTTAAATAAATACTGACGTCTATCGACCGCCGCGCCGTTCCGACTCGCATTCGTAGGACGTGGAAATGGGTCGCGATAGCGTACATACATAATAGACGGATGAAGGTGTCTGCCGCTTTGCATACCGAATCTCTCGCGACGCGGCCACGTTGTTACGTGAGTAAAGACTTTTCGTCTACTACGGGAACAAGATAGCGGCGACGTTGGAGGGCGACGGAGATGGAGACGGAGACGACGATGGCGGCGTCGTTGGCGCCGGCCGGGTAAGAAGATAACTTCGTTTCCTAGCCGGGAACCGAATCGACCGGAATAATTAATAATTAACGCCGGGGCGTGACCTGCCCCTGCCTTCCGTATTCTAGTTCGCGGCGGCGGATGTCGACCTCGTCGCCATCATCTCGCCACGGAAACTCCTAAAGTATCGCTCGCATAATATATAGGGGCGCCGAATTTCCATCTCTCCGGCTCTCTCGTGAAATTTTTCGCGAGACTGTTTTCTTGCGGTGAAACCAAGAATTATGTAAGAGCAGAAGTATCCACAACGCCGGCCTCTCGGATTATACTTAAAACTGATAACTCTTCAAAAACAATTATTAGTTAATTACTTAATGAAGCTTGGGAAGCTAAGAGGATTTAATTGCTAAACTAGCACGATGCATAGTCGTGATGCACGTCATCAAGAGTTTGAAGTTGAGAATAGTCAGTGTACGCTATACATATGTACGTAATGTAACGAGCGGAAATACACGCAAAATATACCGTGTATACTCGCGAGACGGATTACGCAACGTTAATTGTGAAAACTTTTCGCCTCCCCGTGCCTTTTTTTTTCAGTGTGCACTCTTTCCTACGCTAAAATTCCGCGAAGAACATCAAAGGACAGCGAGCGAATGACGTTGACCGGTGATATAATGGTCGTGAAAAGCGTGCGTGATGCGTGATCGCGCTCAAAAGAATTCCGCAGCCGGTGAGATGTGTCAGCCCGATCGGATTTCGTCTCTCTCGTTGGCAGACACAAGTGTGAAAAGCTTCATTCTGCCGTCGCCGTGCGAAAGATGACCGTCGTCGTCGCAGCTTTGACGTCTCGCAGAAATAGATAAGCTCTAAAGGAATGACGGAGGTATCGGGGTGTTCGGATATTAAACCGCTTCATGGATTTCACGTGAAAGTCGTCATGGTGATTCGTGACAATCGGGGATGATTCTTTTCGACGGGACTTCATGCTCTAATAATCTCTAACTCTAAAAGATATGTAATAAGGATATCCAGTAGAAGTGTAATTAAACGAAGAAATTTAATAAAAGGCAATGTTTTCCTTTTATATTATTAGAAAATTAAAATAGATTATAGTATTTGATGTTTTATAAATGTTTACAAGTTTATGCAAAATTATGACATTAAGCTTCAAGATAAAAAATTTTTTTTCTGCGAGTTTTATTTATGGCAAATAATCAGATAGTTTCTATGTAGATTTGCTTCGTAATTTCTCAATATCGCACGATCAGTATGAAGAGCCAATCCGCGTTGCGTAATGTTAATTTTTCAATGACTCGCGGTCATTACTGGTAGCCGGGAGATCTCTTCGTGCTGTAACTTGATGCACCGGTAACTTTCCATTCGATCTACCAACGCGGCGTGAAATATTCACTCATTTTGTCGGACAGGCCGTGTAGACATCAACAAAATGTCAATTTACACGAAGACAGGTGTTAAAGAGCATTTCGCTTTGCGAGCGCCGACCCAAAGTTGCAGCGACATAAATTTTCACGACGCAAAAGCACCACACTGTTAAAATATACTTAAAAAATCCTAAACTTTTATTTTCTACTAAATTACACATACCTTATTTCAGTATTTTTAACTCTTTATCTCTTTAAAAATAATAATTGTTAGAGAACATGTTTGTCAGACTGAACTGTTAACGTCGGGTTACAAAGATTCGCGACAACGCAACGGGATGATTCGATGCAGGACAGGACCTTCTACCGGGGATATTTTTCTATATAAAAAACATATCTTCGAGATTTCGCTCGAGGGGGGAACGCATTTTCGATACGGTCGTCGTTATCGCTAATAGGACGAGTCGGTATCGTCCTATAGAGAGCGAGCTATAGATCCTTTCGAAATGACGCTTGTGTCGTCCATCGCGCGATCGCCAGGCCAGCCCGGGGGCCATCGGAGACCAATAAATCGCGCACGGATATCGATCTTTATTACAGTAGAAAATAGAACGGCGAAACGCGAATGGAGGGTGTATGGTCCGCCGATGGTTTATTCCTCCTCGTTTATCGCACTGACCGACGAATTTGCTCGCGCGAGGCAGGACCGGATTAGGACTCATGTCGCCCCCATGCAATTAAATAGTTGCTTATTCAAGTTTCAAATGTAACATAACCTAAAGTAATCAATTAAATTTATTAAATTTACTAAACATGTCTTAAATATACAATATATAAATAAAAGAGCAAAAAAGCCACATGGATCTCGTTAGCGAAAGTCATATATTTAAAAATTCATCAAGTTAATATATAAATAAACATAAACGTTTTCAATATGTAAAATAATTAAATAAGTAAAATAATGAGTAAATTTATATAGACCAAATACACGAGAATTAACTTGACGAATTAATCGATCGACATCGACTCAACTCTTGCTAGAAAAATCTGTTATTGTATGATCTGCGTTCATTTTTGTAATTAATTTTATCATGTTGACTCAAAATTGTATTGACCTCGTTTTTTTACTTATTTAATTATTTTACATACCGAAAACGGCCACATTTTGGCCGAAACGTTTATGTTTATTTATATGTTAACTTGGTGAATTTTTAAATATATGGCTTTCGCTAATGAGATCCGGCGTGTGGCTTTTTTGCTCTTTTATTTATATAATCTAAATTAATCAAATTCTATATTTTGTTTTCTTCTTGTCTCTTACATTCTTTTATGTATATGATCGCAAGGTTAATTATATTATAGTTATAAATATCAAAATACGTGTACAGACCGCGTGTTGATAAATTATTTAATTTAAGTTTCCAGTTTGTTTAGTTTTATTGTATTAATGGTATAATAACACACATATTGCAAAATTACATACTATATATAATACAAAATAGATATTTATTATAATAGAACTTGACATACATTTTTAGGAATTCTTTTAAAAAATACCGGCCTTTTGTCACCCTCATGTAAAGCTTAAATTTTAGTCTAAAGACTTATATCAGAATCTAGCCATGAATGATTTTGTCATGATCCTACAAGAGAGAAAGATATATACAATTTCTTCTTGTACATATTCATTTTAACATAGATGTTTCACTCTATGAAATTAATTAAGATTATAAAGTAAAACAGCAGAGTTGGAGAAAAATTAAAATAAATTTATTTAAAGTTGAAATATTCATTTAAAGTTAATAGCATTAATGAATATCATGCTAAGTCTAACATCCTGTATATTTATAAAATATATACTGATTTTTACTTTTATTATTTCCTTTTTTATACAATTAAGAAATGGAAAATAGTAATATTTTGTTTAATTATCAAATATCAAAAGGTAAATAAATATTTTATTTTAAGTTAAAGTAAAAGTTAAAAAAAGTTAATGTAAATAGTTAATACTATTTGCCTTTTTTATATTTACTATGCAAAATAATATTTCTATAGACGTATTCTTTAAATAAATATTTCTATTGAATGTATCTCAATTTTTTTCCTGCACTGAAAATATGTATTTTTTACTCTAACTATTTTCCTCCGTATAGTAAGACAGTATAAGTAAGAATAAGATAGACATAGTTTATTCACAAAGAGAAATTATAATATATACTTTTCTCTCGTAGGGTTTGATAAAATCACTCATGGTCAGACTCTAATGAAGGTCTAGTATATAAGCTCTAATACATCACTGGCGCGAATGAGAAAATCAGGTCGCGTCGTGCACGGCAAACGAGACATGCTTAAATTTTTGTTCGGCTCATCAATTCAAATCAATTGGATTGACTTGTAAATTAACAAATTATTTATTGTACATGCAAATTCATTTTGTAAGGCTGAAATGATTCATGAGTAAATGAAGTGATTTATAGTAAATTCGATGGGATGCGTCAGTGCATGCTGGCGCACGTCAAACGCCGTCGTATACAAGTTAATACAAAGGTAAATGCAAAGTACATAAATGGATCGAACCGTGCAATATTTAATATAATGTATTACATTATTTCGGAAAATGTATGCTGGACGTTTCATCAATCAAACTATTCCTATCATATTTTTGTCTTTATGTAGATTAATGTACAATAGTTTCTAATCTGCGCGCCACTAAATCCGCCGTTGAATAACTGAGATGAAACGTTGTAGCAAGTTTCCCGTCTAGGAGTAAAATAAATCGAAAGTTTATCTCCCTCTTCTCCATCTCGTCACGTCATTTTACTTTAACTGAAACGGGTCACTAAGCAACTGAGATAATGCAACGCGGCAAGTTCTTCGTGCAGGAAACGGATTGAAAGTTTATTACTGCACCGTCTTGTTTTAACTGAAATGATTCAGCGAACACGGGACAATACTCTCGGATAATACACTTGATCGTACGGCGAGTTTCCCGTTTGGGAGCGAGGCAGACTCGGACGGTACCGGATGCAGTTTGAAAGGCTGCACGATGCACGGCACCCGGTCGTAAGTGTCAGTCGGTTCGAGCGTTGTCGAGCCCCCTAATTTATGCACCAATTAGATCACCTCACCGAAGAACGCGTCGCTCGTAAAACCGCACACGACCGACGTGTAAAAAATCGCGGAAGATGCCTGTCGAGTGTGAACCGGGAATGGGATGGTATGCGGGGCGACGGAGCGGACATCGTCTGATATGGATTGAGACCAATAACCATCCACCTCCTTCTATTCCACGATCGTTTATTTCCACTCACGTAAATAGCGTCGTATAATCTCATATTCCGCATGGAAACCGATTGCTCCATAAAACGATTTTGACTTTTCTTAAATCGCTGATGTATCCCTTCCCTTTTCGACCCATCTCCGTCGGCTTTTCTGCCCTCGAGAAACCGAAGATATTTTCACGTCAACATTAATTTACTTGCATTAACATCGATATTTTCTGCACTCCGTTTTCTTTCTGGCGAGTCGCGTAATCGACTGAATGCATCGTCAAATAAAGCTAATCGATACGTCTTAATATTTCGTTTTTATGTGAAGA